GGCTCGCCGGCGAGGGCGGACTGGGGGGCGGGGGTGGCTTCAAGCCCATCCCCGTGCTCGGGGGCAGGCACTGAGCGCCGGGCAGGTCTCCCCCAGAGGGCCACCCAGCCCCGCCCCGCCTGCCCCCCTCGCTTATTCAGCGCCCGCAGGCTGTGCGAGGGCCCAGGGCATGCTGCTGACCCGGTGCCCGGGCCTGCCTTGCTGGAGGGATGATGGGTTAGATCCCCCCTCCATCCACTTGTCTTCCCCTCTCTAAGTGCTGCCCTTGCAGATCCCTTCTCCAGAAGCCCCCTCTGGGCACAGTGGCGGGTGTCCTGCACCCCAGTGTTTTCAATTCCCTGACCATCAGCCCTTGGGTTAGGAGCACCAGAGCATTTCAGAGCCTGCTGCCTTTGGAAGACACTACCTCAAAGCACCTCATCATAGGACAGTTTTCCCAAGGTGGATGGAGAATTGCTGCCTCCCAAATTGTGTGTTGGCCCCTTCCTCACATAAGCTGTCGGTGCTGTGCCCTTTAGCTAGCTAAGTGCTGGCAAATAACTTTTCACAGGTGCTGGGTCAGTTTGTATACCCAGCCAACTGTTTTCCAGCACTGTTTTGCCTTTGTTCCTGGGTGCAGCCCCTTTGTGGTTGGAGGCTTTGCCCCCATTTAAAAAAATGGGTCCTTTGTTCTTACAGCTCCTTTCTCAATCTGCTCTTCAGACCCCTCCTATTCATGACCATCTTATTCTAGGAGCCTCTCATTAAACAATGATCAAACGGAAAAACACTAGAATCCCACAAAAGGTAAAACAAATCGGATCAAACCATACTGCTAGACAATTGCGCTGGCTGGAAGCGGAGATGATAAGAGGAGGCTAGGATTATAATGAGAATCACACAAGTGTGATTGTCTACTGTACAAAGACCACGATCTTCTCTAACAAAAGAATTTTGTATGATCTGCATATTATGCTTTGAGTCACGTTATGGTAAAAGAGAAGGCGCACTTGAAGGTTACAACCAGTGGATTCAATTACTTCAGTCAGAGAGTGCATACTGGTCAATTTTTCAGTGTAATGATTAATAAGTTTTAGTAACACACTTGTTTTAAAAGCCTTGGTTCAGTGCCTTGTACATTCCTACCAAGGATGGCATTTGGCACAACTACTAAACTGTGCATCTCGGAGGAGCAGCTGACATCTGAAGTAGAGACGCGGACACAAATGGTTAGAATATAATTAATTTCAGGGAGCAGCTGGATATGGTATTGTAAATAGTACATAATTAATTTTGCAGTAATCATTTAAAGTTCTGCAACTAAACTGAAGAGTACTAAGCGTGCAGGTTTTTTCAGGAATATGGCATTGGCCTGAATTTACTCCACTGCTAATCACTGAGTGCATCTACACCTGCCTGTCAATATGCAGCAAAAAGCCCTGAAGCTTACTGCTGCTGGGTGCCCGTCTGCGCATGCACTGCAGATCACAGCATGTTGAGCCACGGCAGAGGAGACCCTTCTGGCAGAGGGCCCTAGGGATCAGCCTGCTAGCCTGGGGCTGCTCCACCCCAGCTCAGTGTGCTCCAGAGGGGCTGGCTAGGGCATGAGGGTGCTTCAGTGTAGGGCTAGCTGGCAGGCAGCCCACAAGCCTAAGCAACTTTGTGGCCCAACGAGCCCTTCCAGTGTCTATGCATGTGTTGCTGCTGAGTAGTACTTGAATGAGCTTTAGATAAAGCATCCCCACCACCATTTTGAAGCATGGGAATGCTGATGCATATGATGATCCAGGTGCTTTAATTAGGATAGATCTTAGAGCTGTTCTAATTAAAGAGCCCCATCCCCCCACCCCTATCCCCACCTGAACATATGTATAGATGCCCCTTGTGCCATAGCACGTTGAGCCTGGTCAGAGCACCCCCAGGTTGGCAAGCGGCCCCTCAGGGCTCCCTGCCAGCCAGGGCTGTTCCATCCTGCCTCAACATGCTGTAGTCCTGGAAATGCAGTGCAGTGCAAATGCAGTGCCTGGGCACAATGAGCTCTGATGTGAACTACGCCAGAGTTTATTCATTCAGAAAATGAAAAGAATTACAGGAAGAATGTTTATTTTGAGTATTTCAAGGGAGGCCTCTGAAGTTGAGGTGGGCTGCTTTACATAGAGCCGTGGTGCACATCATTCCATAGAGGGCACCCCTTGACAGAAAATTCAGATAGTAATCTGGCACGGGTATGTCTATACTGCAGCTGGGAGCTGTGATTGCAGTGCATGTAGATGTACATTTCCATCTATCTAGCCAAGGCATTGGATCACAGTGAAGCTGCAGTAGCATTGTCTGTACAAGTCAAACAGGGACCCTGCTTGCTGTTGTTCCTACAGCTTCTCTGCCATTGGTTCCTGAGCTTGCTAGATTGCTAGACACACTGCAGTCACACTTTGGATTGAAATGCAGACGCATTCAGTCTCAATTAGTGACATGTCAGAACTCCTGATTAAGATCTGATTTGTTGTGATTTAATGAAAAGGAATCTGAAAGGAATTGCTGCATTTTTCCTGTCACTGTTCAGGGCGACATGGTGCCTTATAGACTAACTCATTCAGAGCACAATGCATGTTTGTGTTTTATGTTTTAGGGTAAAAGACTATCATTTTGTCATTGGGTGAATATTAGTATAGTGAAGTACTTAATTTATACCAACTGTAGTGATGGACCTTATGAGTGAAGAGGCTATTCTGTTCGTATTTTGTCTGCAGGATTTCCACAAAAAACCCCAAAACCCAGAAAAACAAAAAACAAAACAGGAGATCAGTTGATGTGACTATCAATAACATTTCATGTTAGGATGAGAGGAGAAGGAATGCTTTGGTATTTTCAGGCCTTGTGTCCCGACATGTTAACTAAGGTTCTGCATTCGCTGTGCAGTCATAACTTGCATGGACATCACAGGGAATGCTGCTCATGGACATACTGATACCAGGACCTATTACTCGGAGACACAAAGTACCATATTTCTTGCATATAACATGCTCTCCCTCTCCCCTCTGTATAAGATAATACCTTATTTTTGAAAGGCCAAATGAAGAAAAAACATCTATCCTTGAAAACACTAGTAAATAAGGTATTCCCCAGGGAGGGGGGGAAACCAGGCAGTTGCAATAGAACATTGTGGGTACTCTGTTTGCCCCCTAGGTGCAGGGTACCATAGGTCCTGTTGGCTGAGCCCAAATGTCTAGTCCCCCTCCTCTCAAGCAGAAATGGGTGGGCAGCCAACTTCCATAGCACATGCCTCTGTCAGGCTGCAGCCTTGAATCTGGGATATTAGCTTGGCTAACACAGCCTCCCAGCTAGGTGTTGCTACCCCACAGCTAACCACTCAGGTAGGTCAAAACTAGCCTGAGACCTTCACTAAGGTGTAACCCTCCACCCACTCCTTATTACTGGAATGGCGAGTCAGGTTCAGCTGACCTTCCACTTCCAACACTTCTTGTTCATGTGCAGGGGTTTAACTATCTGGGCAACAAGGTTCAACCTGATCCAAGGCTGTTTGCTGTTCCTTCCAGCTTGTTCTCTGACTCTACTCCCTGATCAGTCTCCCAGCTTCTTGACCTGGCTTGCTCTCTGCTTCCATTCTCTGCTTTACCTCCTGGCTTCCTGACTCAGCTTGCTCCTAGACCTGGTCAGCACCTTGATTCCTTGGGTGGCCCCAAACCTGACCGCCTGGCATGACGATCTTCCAAGCATGACAGTTTGTATGGACTACCCATTCAATCAAGAGGGTCCAGCATGGAGCCCAATCCCCTGCTATTGCCCTCAGACTTACTGACCTTGGATGCCACAATTTGGGGAGAACTGCAGGTCAGACAGGACTGGCTGAACTAGCTTGCCTCTGCTCAGCAAGTCCTGGAAGCCCGGGAGCAAGAGCTGCTGACCAAGAGCCATTCCCTGCAGTCCCCAGTGGTCTACCACCAGAAGAATTAGCACTGGTGTGAGGAGGCAAGATGGCTGTTGGATAAGATTGCTGCACTCCAGGCCCATCCCACCGAGACCCGTGCCTGATCTCAAAAGATGCAATGGATACCAGCGACGCTTCACACAGTTTCTTGCCCAATGTCCTCTTTTGTTCCCAGGAAAATTAGGCAGATGGTAGAGCAAAGCTATCAGGTATGGTAGTGG